ATAATCAACTGTTCTCTACACATCAAATTCCCCTCTCTTCTTTGACTATCCCTTCTCTTCTCCAGTAAGCCAGCCTTCCTAAACTTTCCACCACTGAGAACCCAGCTTTCCACTTTGCATCCTGGGCTGGACTCCCTGAATGATTAAAGAAAGAGTAAAAGATTAAAGAAGAAGCACAGCTGCTCAGGAGTCAAGGATGTGGTAGGCATTGGAAGTGAGAGGACTGGGAATCTTCAGAGCCCTCACACATCCAGTTTGCATTTTACCAAGGTCTTACCTCCACAGAGATGCCCCGGGCACTGGGCCCCATTGTGACGGTGCCCACCTTCACCAGGAAGTCACAGTACTGGTAACGGGTGCCTCGGGTCTCAATCTTGCTGGCTTTGGCACTCTGGAAGAAGCCTTTGAGCTTCACCATGAGGACATCGAAGTTGGTGTCAGCAATAAGGCAGGGGCCGCTCTCAAAGAGGGCGAAACAGCTCAGTGGGTATTCTGAGTTGTGCATCACATACATCAGCTTCCCGGCCTGACCTGAAAGGCACCCAGAGCCAGCTCATCATCAGGACTTCTGTCAGGGACCCCAGAACAGAGTCAAGTGAGTGGAACAAGGCCAGACGGCACTCTGGCCACCTATCCAGTCTTGTATGAAGCCAAGGGGAGTCCCTGCACTGACAGCCTCTCTTAGGGAGGTAAGGAGAGGAGCAGCAGGCAAGGAGGCATGCTTGTTAAAACCCACCCTGGGACCAGCAGATGGCATAGTGGTTACATTGCCAGACTCCCACATGGCCGACCATGGTTTAAGTCCTGGACCTGGTGGCTTCAAACTCATACTGGGCACATGTGCATGCATGCCCAGAATCCTGAGAGGAGAATGGAGGAGAAGAGACTGTGGTGTGGCCATTCTCTCTGGGGGTGATTTCTCACTTTCTGTCTCTCTTATCTCTCTCTGTCTCTCCAGCGAGTGCACGTGTCCTATAGTGAAAATCTCTCTCAAAAATAAAACCGGGAACCAGCAGTTAGCGTAATGGCTATGTCGCTGGACTCCCACGTAGTCAACCACGGTTCACGTCCCGGACCCGGTGGCTTAAAACTCACGCCGGGCGCGTGTGCGTGCATGCCCAAGATCCCGAGAGGAGAATGGAGGAGAAGAGACTGTGGTGTGGCCATTCTCTCTGGGGGTGATTTCTCACTTTCTGTCTCTGTCTCTCTCTGTCTGTCTGGCGAGTGCATGTGCCCTATAGCGAAAACCTCTCCAAAAAATAAATAAATAAATAAAAGCCAGCTCACTCTATAGAAAAAGGTAAGGGGCACACAGGGAACACTGGCAGGGTTGATAATTGGTTTAATTCTTAAGCTGAATGGTGGGCTCACAGATGCGCACTTAATTTGATGATGAATAGTTCACAGGCACCTATATGTGTAATCTTTTGTAATATTACCATGTATTACACAGTAAGCAAAACAGAAGTAACAGCATTTGGGAATATCAAAGGAGCCGATCACTTCTGTCCACCCCTACCAAGCTTGCCTCCTAGGAAATGCTCTGCCAGAATTAGCCCCAAGGGGAAAATCTAAGCATGGGAATATCAAAGGTAGAAAGGGAGGCCAGAACCAAGCCATGGTAGGTCTTTTACATCTGGCTTTAAGATGTCTTGACGTCTAGGAGCCGGAGGATGGCATGGTGGTTAAGGTGCTGAACGCCCACATAGCCGACCACTGTTTTTGATTTTGTTTTTTTTTTGGAGAGGTTTTTCGCTATAGGGTGCGTACGCTTGCCAGACAGACAGAGAGAGACACAGAGACAGAAAGCGAGAAATCACTCCCCAGGGGGGATGGTCACGCCGCAATCCCTTCTCCTCTCGGGATCTTGGGCACATACGCACACGCACCCAGCATGAGTTTTAAGCCACTGGGTCTGAGACACAAACCGCGGTCGACTACGTGGGAGTCCAGCGACTTAGCCATTACACTAACTGCTGGTTCCCAGCCGACCACTGTTTGAGTCCCAGACCCAGCAGCCTGAAAATCCCACCAGAAATGTACATGCATATCCAAAATCCCCATATCCAAAATCCCAAGAGGAGAATGAAGGGATTGCTGCATGGTCATCCCCTTCATGCTCTGTCTCTCTCCAGTGAGTCCATGAGCCCTGTGTCAAAAACCCTTTAGGGGAAAAAAAAAAAAAAAAAAGGCAAGAAGTCTGGACTTCAAAATGAAGGCAATGGGTAAGCCTTGGAGAATTCTTTTTGTTTGTTTAATTTGCCAGGAGGCGCATGCGCTTAGGGGAAGGAGACAAGAGAAAGAGAGGGAAAGTAAGAAAGCAATCACCATGGGGACTAGTTATGCCACCATTCCTTCTTCGTTTCTCCTTCCTTTTGGAATTTGAAGCATGCATGTACATGTGCCTGGTGTCTTTCTCAAGCCGCTGGGTCTGGGACTCAAACTGTGCAGTTGACCATGTGGGATCCAGCCACCTGAACCACCACATCACTGGCTAGCCTGAAGCCTTGGAGAATTGTAAGTCTAGACAACTGAGGAAGCAAGCAACACACTATCACAGAAAGAACTCAGGATCTGGGATTGGAAAGTCTGGCTTCGAGACCTAGCTCATCCATCTTCCAAGCTCTCAGAAATGACTTTTCTTTCTACAGGTTTTTTGCAAAAAGAACATATATTTATTTAGCTACATACATTCAGCAAGGAAATGGGGAAGGTAAAAAATGGAAAGCAACATTCCTCTCTCATATAGTATAAGAGTTAATGAAGGGACCAGCAATTAGTGTAATGGCTTCCACATGGTCAACCATGGTTCGAGTCCTGGACCTGGTGGCTTCCTTTCTCACCTTCCTTCTCTGTCTCTCTTTTGTAAAATTGGAAAATAACAATACCAATAATAATAATAAATAAAAAATTAAAATAAAAATAATTCTTTAAAAAAGGAAATCAGCAGTAGGTGGCCTATTTTTGAAGGTTGAGCAGTTTGGAACTGGACTCAGAAAAGCACAAGCAGGCAGGAGGATGGAGACTGGAGGTTCTGTGCAGAGCCTGCTCTGTTCAGGAAGTGACAGCAGGATGCAGGCCCACATGGGGAAGCCACATGTCCCTGCCATCTTCTTTCTTTTCTATTGCTCCACTCTATCCCTGCCCTGGAATGTCATCTTTGTCTCTGTCACTGATTCCTACCCTTTCTTCATATCCCAGTTCAAGTCATATTTTTTCCCATGAAAGTTTTTTCTGTTCTTTCTCACTTTGATCTCGTCCTATTCTGAAGTTTTTCCTTCCTTCCCAAAGATGTCTAGTCTTTTTTGAGTAATCACTTTTGTTTTATTTTGTGATCTTTTGATCTTCTTTGTATTTTATTTTAGCTATAGGGCTCATGTATTCAGTGGAGAGAGAGAGAGGGCCCCCAGGGGAGATGGTGACACCATGATCACCTCTCCTCCATTCTTCTTTTGGGGCTTTGGGCATGCACACACGTACACCAGGAGTGTTTTTCAAGCTGCTGGATCTGGGACTCGAACTATGCAGTTGACCATGTGATCTAGCCGCTTTAACCACCATGCCACCTGCTGGCATCATCTTTTGATCTTCTTTTAAAAAGTTTTTATTTCAGGGCCAGCAGGTAGTGTGGTTAGGGCACTGAACTCTCTCATGGCTGTCTGCAGTCTGAGTCCCACACTGGGCAGCTTGCTTTTTCATTTTCCTACTTTCTCTCTCTCTTCCTCCCTCCCTCTCCTCTCTTTCTCCTTTCTTTCTGGCAAGCACATGTGCCCTATATAGCAAATAAAAATTAATAACAATACATAAAGTTAAACAATTTAAGAAGTTCCTAGCTCATCTTGTGAAAGACCAAAGTCCTCTATTCATATGTCTCTTAAACCCTTGAAATGTTGAGAATGATTAAAGTAAGTAATATTTGGGATTATGGCAATCTTCCATTAACTCTTTTTTTTTTTTTGACTTAAATAATGACTTTATTTTAACAGTTAATTACAAACATAAAATAGCTGGGGAAGCGGGTGGGCCCCAGCCTAGCCCTACCCTGGGGCTACCAGGAGCTGGGTGCTGGCAAGGCCTCCCTGATGACCCTCCTCTGGGGGTCTTCCTCTGGCAATCTTCCATTAACTCTTTAAAAAATCATTTTTTTAAAGATTTATTTCTGGGGGTGCTGGCAGGTGGCATGGTGGTTAAGGGCAGTGGACTACCACATGGTCAACCATGGTTTGAGTCCCAGATCTGGCAGCTTGCTTTCTCACTTTCTCTCTCTCTCTCTCTCTCTCTCATTCACTGTCCCTACCTGGTCAAGCTAAAATAAATAAATAATATTAAAGAAAATAATTCTTCAAAAAAAATAATAAAACAGGGAACCAGCAGTTAGCGTAATGGCTATGTCGCTGGACTCCCACGTAGTCGACCGCGGTTTGTGTCCCGGACCCGGTGGCTTAAAACTCACGCTGGGCACGTGTGCGTGCGTGCCCAAGATCCCGAGAGGAGAATGGAGGAGAAGGGATTGCGGCGTGACCATCCCCCCTGGGGGGTGATTTCTTGCTTTCTGTCTCTATGTCTCTCTGTGTCTGTCTGGCGAGCGCACGCGCCCTACAGTGAAAATCTCTCAAAAAAAAAAAAAAAAACACAAAGAACAATGTTTAAAAAAAAAAGATGATTTATTTCTGGGGCAAGCAGTTTGCATGGTGTTTTAAGGCACTGGTGCTTAAGGCACATGTTCAACCACTGTTTGATCCTGGATCTGGCAGTTTGAAAATCACTGTGGGCATGTGCATGTACATGCCCAAAATCCTGAAAGGAAAATGGAAGACAAGGGATTGTGGTGTTGCCATCTGCCCTGGGAGATGATTTTTTTTCTTCTCTCTGTCTCTCTTCAGTGAGCACATGCGCCCTATGGCAAACCTTAAAATTTTTTTTTTTTTTAATTTCTTCCATGAGTGAGCAAGAGAGAGCGAGAGGCAGCACTCCTAACAGGGTCCTAACACCCTGAGCCTTCAGCCAGCCCTGATCGTGGACTAGCGTGTGGCTGGCATAGGAGGTTTCCAGACTTGAACAGGGAACCTTCCCATGTCAGACTGCTTCTCAGAGCTTCACATTCTACCACTGCTCCTCCATCTATTCCCTATCCATTAACTCCTTTTTAAGCAATTATTTATTTAATTTCATGTACCATCATTAGTCTTCACTTTGGCCAGAGAGAGACACAGAGAGAGAAACTATTGTTATAACATATATTTTTAATTTGACGAGAGAGAGAGAGAGAGAGAGAGAGAGAGAAAGCCACCAGCTCCAGGACTTGAACCATGGTCTGCCATAAGGGAGTCCAGCACCTCAACAGCCACACCATCTGCCAGCCCCTCCATTAACTCTTTTTTTTTTTTTTGGAGAGGTTTTTGCTATAGGGCACGTGCGCTCGCCAGAAAGACAGAGAGAGACAGAGAGACAGAGAAAAGTCATCCCCCAGAGGGGATGGCCATGCCACAATAGGAAATCTTGATGCAGAACATTCCAGAAGCTCTATGGCTCTGAAAGACACAGGTACAAAGACTTCTAGGCCTAAAATAAGTAGTTCTCAAACTTCAGATTGATTGTATAAGGATTATGGGAGAGCTCATTAAAAGGCAGAGTACGAAGACTACCAGACCAGTCAATTAAGCAGGAAGCAGGGCCAGGAAATAACACCTCTAACAAGGTAACAATCCAGGATATTGTGACGTGTTTAATCAGTGACCAATCCTCTCAGATACACTGCTTTAACAACTCAAACTGGGGCCAGTCCGTGGCATGGGGGTTAAGGCAGCTAGATCCCATATGGCCAACTGCATGGTTCCAGTCTTGGACTGGGGGCTTGAAAACCATGCTATGTGCATATGTGCCCAAAATCCCAAAAGGAGGGAGAAATGGAGAAGGGACTACAGTGTGACCATTCTCCACAGGGGCATGCTTTTTCACTTTTCTTCTTTCACTCTCTCTCTGGCAAATTTTTTTTTTTTTTTTAAAAAAGAGTGCAAACTGCACATGGGCCAGCTCTGAGATTCAGCAGTAATGCACCACTAAAGAAAAGCTATGTCCCACATGGCCACCACAGTTCAAATTCCCTAGCCTAGACAGCCTGAAATAAGACAGGCTGAAGGACAGGAGGAAGGAGAATCATGGCATAACCAGACCCTGCGGAGGACGGAGGGTGCCCATCTCCTTCTCTCTCTCTCATACTCATATGCATACTTGTGGGGGGAAAAATTACTTAAAAAACGAAATACCACCTTTAACAGAAAAGCAGGAAGACTTCAATGCATATGAATGTCCATTAACTCCAAACCAGGTTCCAAACATCCTGGACCCATTTCACTAACCTTGGCTACCAAGGGTAGAGGCAGCTGTGTGGTAAGTCTCGCAGTCCACACAAAATGTTCCTTCCTTCTCTGCCCCAAGTAGCTCCAACTTCCGGGTAAGGAGTTCCACAGTCTGCTGGACACTCTTGCCCTCAGCCACAGGCATCTGGGACACACTGGAAAGGAGAGCACCATATCATCAGCCCCTGAGACACACACACACACACACACACACACTGCGTCACTGGCTCTTCTACAGAATCACAGCCAGCAGGGCCAGGAGGTACCCTAGAGAACACCTGACCCCTTCAACAGTGGCCGCAGTCCCTGAGAGCTCCTCCAAGAACTAGAGCACAGGTCTCTGGATTCTCATGCCAGGACAATGAATTTCCTATCACCCCAGCATTTCCCAAGCATGGCATGTGTGCCAACATTGAGGTGAAGAGTCTAGGTGGCACACAAAGTGGGCATTCAATAACACTGAGCCATACCACAGGAAAGGCACTCATTGTGTGGGATGAGATGGTGGAACAGCAGTAAAACACAATGCTCTGGGACCAGCAGTTAGTGTAATGGATATCTTCCCAGTGTGGCCATCCCCGTGGGGGGTGATGTCTTGCTTTCTGTCTTGTCTTTCTGGCAAGCACACACACCCTATAGCAAAACTCTTTCTCAAAACAAACGAACAAACAAACAAACAAAATAACAATGCTCTGTGATGCAATCCCATATGGGAAGGTTCCTGGTCCAAGTCTGGAGACCTCCCTGAGTGTACAGGTGCATACTGAGGGTTGACAGCAGCATGAAGCCCATGTGGGAGTGTTATATCTGTCTCTTTCTCCCTCTCTCTGAAGAAATAAATACGTTTTCAAAGGGGATTCTGGACCCAGAAGATGGCATGGTGGTTAAGGGCACTAGATTCCCACATGGCCAACAGCAGTTCGAGTCCCAGACCTGGCAGCTTGCTTTCTCACTTTCTCTCTCTCTCCCCCTCTCCGCCTCACTCAGTCCCTCTCTGATCAAAATAAGTAAATAAATAAATACAGTTTAAAAAGGGGGGGGGAATTCCTGAAACCAGCAGATGGCGTAATGGTTACATTGCTAAATTTCCTCTAATTGACCACGGATCAAGTCCCAGACTCAGTGGCTTAAAACTCATGCCAAGTGCATGTGTGTACATGCCCAAGATCCCAAGAGAAGAACAGAAGAGAAGGGAATGCGGTATGGCCATCCCCTTCGGGTGGTGATTTCTCACTTTGTTTCTGTCTCTGTCTCTCCAGTGAGCACATGGGCTGTATAGGAAAAATCTCTGTCTTAAAAAAAGGGGGGAGAGGGTAGGGGAGGGGGTTCCTTTTACAATTCTTTCTGTTCTGAATATATCAAGGATAAAGGCTCAATCTGGGATTAGTAAGTCTTCTTGTTTGTTCGTTTGTTTTAACTTTTAATTCCCAGAGGGCATGTGCATTCACCAGAGAGAAAAGGCACTCCCCAATGGGGTATGGTCACATTACAGTCCTTCTCCCCTCATTTTCTCCATCCTCCCAGGATACTGGTGTACACTCACCAAGTGTGTTTTTCAAGCCACCTAGGCTGGGACTCAAACTGTGGTTGCCACATGGGATCCAGCTCCCTAGGCACAGGGCTTAAGCACTGCACTATGAGGCCTGCCCTGGAATTGGTATATTTTTACAACTCTATTTTTATTTTAGTATATTTTATTTGTAGTTTTTGCCATAGGGCACATACCCAGAAAGAGACAGAGAGAAAGTGAGAAATCACCCCCCAGGGTGGATGGCCAGGTCAAAATCCCTTCTCCACCCTCCTCTTGGGATTTTGGCACATCTGTACCTGGGATGATTTTCTCTGCACTGGGACTTGAACCACATTCAATCACATAAAAGTCCAGCACCCTAACCACCATACCATTTCTATCTGGCAAGTGCACATGCCCTCTGGCAAGTAAGTAATTAAAGTCACTACTCTATCAAAAAAGCACTGAAAAACAATGCTGATGATGTGCCTTATTTTAAAGTATATGAGAATATCTAAACTGATGCTAAGAGACAGAAGTCATAGGATTCTGAAAACGGTAAGAACGCCAACAGACCAAGCCTTTTTCCTCCAGCTGCCCTCTCTATTGGAAGAATGGGGGCCTCCAGGGCTCTAAGCCTCTGAGTTCCCCATATCCATCCCTCACACAGCCCACCTTATGCTCGCGGGCTCAATGTCAACTGTGGGAAACAGGAGTACACCGAGAAACCCACAAGAGTCTGGACTACCAGGAGAAAAAGTATTTTTCATACGTGTGTTTGCATGTGAAGTTAATAGCCACAGACTTCAGATATCCTGGTCTCCAAGCCTCTCTCACTGGAGAGATGCTCAAATCGCCAGAGGTTTTAAAGTGCTGATCCCTAGGGACCAGCAGTTGGCAATGGCTATGTTGCTGGACTCCCACGTTCTTGATTGAGCGAGGTTCAAGTCCCAGACCCAGTGGCTTAAACTCAAGCCAGCCAGAGAGAATGGAGGAGAAGGGATGGTGGTGTGGCCATCCCCCCTGGGGGGTGATTTCTCGCTGTCTGTCTCTGTCTTTCTGGCAAGCACACAGGCCCTATAGCAAAAACATCACACCCCCACCAAAAAAAAAAAAAAAAGTGCTGATCCCTAATCCCGGGAAAGCAATGGGCCCATATTTCCCCCTGCCACCTTCCTCTCTTCCAAGTGAGACTTAGGATATATTCGGAGATAAATCCATTGACACTAGACCAACCATGGAATCATAGCAGGAAACTGTCCTGAAGAGAAAAAGTGCTTGGAACCCCGACCTTGTCCACGCTCAATCTTAAATTGGCCAAATCACAATTAGACACAGGTTGGTCTAACTGCATTTGGTGGTTGTAGGGAGGGCCAGGAGAGAACCTAAAAATGCATATATATATTGTCTTCTACTTGCCTATTCCTCTGCTCCCCTCTAGCCTGGCCCTAGACCAGGGATGCCACTCCAAACAGTACTACAGCCCCATGGGCAGAAAGATATACAATTAAAAAAAAAAAAAACGTGGGGGGAAGGAAATACGCACCTGTTAAAGGGTTCCCGGGATAAAGCCTTTGCCCTGCCGCCTTCCAGGAGGAACGGGCGCATCTCCGAGGATACGGGCCCGGACAACCCGCGGACCCCACGAGGTCTCCTCATCCACACCACCCGAGGACATCTTGCCCGGCTCCCGGGGGACCGCTAACTTTGATCCGGATTCTCTGACCCTGACCACTCCAGGCCACGAGAGCCCTCATGACGCCAACCCCCGGCCCACGAAATCCCTTATTGTCCTACCAAGTCACTCCCATGACGTCGGGCCAGGAGGGTGCAGGAAGAGCCGAAACGCCGAGCCCTCAGACGGTTCGCGTTGGCGGAACCCCCAGGCAAGCTCCGCCCACAGCCGCGGTCCGGAATACGTAGAACCAGAGCGCCCGGTCGCCGCGCTCCCAGGGAACGGGGGCGTGGCTGGGCACCCGCGCTGGCGCCTCCCGTGACGTCATCGGCCGGCTACAGCGTCCAGGCGTGCAGCTCTGAAATCCTCACTTAGCCGGACACCCTAGGCCTCGATCCGTGAAGCCACTACAGCGAGGTTTGGACTGCCACCACATAGAGAAGCCAGCGTTAAAGACAATGAATTCATTCGGAACTCCTGCTACCGAGCCCGCGAGCTCTTTAAGGAGGTGGGGCTGTGCTGGTGGCACTTCTGGCCTCCGAACGCTGGGGGGCGTTGTGATCTGTGCGTGGACGCTTGGAACTTGGGCGTTCACTGCGCAAGCGCATTCTAAGCTTTATGCCGTCCCCACGTGTGGACCTTCTCGGCAACTTTTTCCAGAAAAATGCCCAAAATCAAGGCGGCCCGGGGGGTCGGGGGTCAAGAAAAAGAAAAACATGCGCCCCTAGCCGAGCAGATCCTGGCCGGAGATGCTGTGCGGGCAGGGGCCCGGGAGAAGCGGCGAGGTCGCGGAACCGGAGAGGAGGAGGAAGAGTATGTGGGGCCTCGGCTCAGCCGACGGATTTTGCAGCAGGCGCGGCAGCAACAGGAGGAGCTCGAGACCGAGCATGGGACTGGGAGCCGGCCCGCGACGACGCGGGAGCGCACCACGCGGCTCGGTGAGCGTGGGGTAGTGGTGCGGGGCGAGGTGTTACGGGGGGACGGGCGGACGGACAAAAGGTACTGAAAGGGAAATAGAGTGGAATCCAAAAAGGGGTCCACATTATACTGTTGCCGAGGTTAACGTGATGGGAGGCCGAGCCCTCCATGTCATTCGTAGTTTGTAGACACCCCTGAATTAGGCCACTAAGCTCTAACTAAACATTTATTCTTTGATTATGTAAACATGGAATGCCTACTGCGAGTTTTGTACTATGCTAGGAGTGTCGCTATAGAAAGAAACGAAATAGACACGTGCCTGCCCTCATTACCTTATCGTCTAGTCCAGGAGAGACCGAATAATAATATACCCTGATAGAGTATCGTCTCTGGTAATAGTAGCATTGGTCTTGGGGATTAGGCTGCCCAGATTGCATGATCTTTAACCTACATTCTGAAAAACGAATGGGAGAGTGTCTCCCAGGAGTGGGGGATTGTCTCCAGGTCAAAGAGAGGGAGCGATGAATGGAAAGACTCAGTATTTTCTCACTAGGGGGAGGTTGTTGACCTCTTAGTTGTTTAATTCATTTCTCAGACTTCATCTTCTTGGTCCTAAAAGTCTTCCACTCGTTTGAGTACTCTCCCCTAGCTGCAGCATCCTATTGGTTCCTGTTAGACTCCTGTTTTACTGCCACGTCTCTTCTTCCCCTGCCAGGCGTTCTTTGGTCGATTCTCACTGAAGTGCATCCGCGTTCAGTCCTCAGTCCCCTTCTCTTCAGTACATTGTCTCCTTGGGTACTGTCATCAAGGTTCATGGTTTAAGTGCCATCTATTTGCTGACTGCTCTTAACTTTATATTTTATCTCTAATCTCCCTTATATGTACCTGTTTATTAGGTTTCTCCAAGTTGAAATCTAATAGACATCTAAAAATTTAAAACTCAAAACATCCTGAACTTCTCTCCAAACCTGCCCCTATCTTCTTCACTCAGTAGCATGAAACTTTTTTTTTTTTTAAAAAAAGGGATTTTTGCCCTAGGGCACATGCACTCCAGAGAGACAGAGACAGTGAGAGGAAAAGTGGAAAAGTGAGCAGTCACCCCCCCCCCAGGGGGAATGGCCACACTGCAATCCCTTCTCTTCCACTCTCCTCTCAGGATCTTGGGCACAGTCGCACATGCACCTGCTGTGATCTTCAACTACCAGGTCTGGGACTCCCATTGTGGTTGGCCATGTGGGAGTCTAGTAATGTAACTGCTCTGCCATCTGCTGGGCCCAGTGGCATGATACTCTTCCATTTACTCAAGAGAGTTACCTTGGACTTCTCTCTCCCCCTCTCCTTCCTTCTCTCCATGTAAGTACTGTCAGGAAATCCTGGTAACTGTGCCTTCAAAGTATACCCAGAGTCAAGCTACTTTTTACCACCCTAGAACACCATCCTGGTAGTCCTCTGTAATCTCTCACCTGGGTTATTACAGTAGCCTCATTAGTGTCCTGACTCCGCCCAACCCCCTGCCATAGTCCACACTGCAGCTAGAAGATTCCAGAGGTCTGCGTACCCTGTGTGATCTGCCCCTCTGGCCAGTCAGACCTCTCCACTCCAACTGTATAGGCTTCGTTATTCTTTAAACATGGGACTTCAGGCTTCATCCTGGTCATTCGTTCTGCCTTAGGTTAGTATGTTCTGATACACCTGTAGGGTTACCCACACAGTTCCTCAAAAATGTTTATTTCTCGTTTACCCATTCATTTCCAGCACCGGAACAGTGCCTCACATACAGTAAGTAGGTATTTGATGATTGCTGAGTGAATGGATTAATGAAAGGTGGTGCAGGAGGTAGGAGCCATGCCTCCAAAAGTTTAGAGGCCACCGCCAGGATTTAAAGCCATCCTAACAGCACTGGGAAGCTGAGTACAGGACTGAACAAATCAAACGTGTGTTTCTGCAAGATTACTCTGGCTGCAGAGTGGGAATGAGTTGGAACGTGGGAACCAAGTAGCAGGTTGTTGGATTAGTTGAGACAAGAGAGTGTTGATCAAGGCTTAGATAGGAAGGATTTGAGAGATAGCCTATGAGGTAGAATCAAATTGGACTTTATAATTGGGTGTCGGGGCTGAGGGCAGGGGATGAGGCAGGACTGCTGCCCAGGTTTTGGATCGGGTGGGCTCTGGTGCCATTTACTGAGGTGTGGAACACAGGGAGTGGTATGGACCTCGGAGAAAGAGTTCAGCCCATGACAGGTGTAATTTGAGGTGTCAATGGGTCATTCCAGAGCAGCTGTACTGAGGTGTTTGGAGCTGAAAAGGGGGATCTGTTTATAAGCACAGATTTGGGAGTTGTTGGCATGTGGGGGTATACCTGCCCCCACTCTGTGTTTAGCTTCAATCACACATTGCCTTTTTAGGTTTTTACCATAGGGCGTGTGTGCTTGCCAGAGAGAGAAAAAGTGAGAAATCAGCCCCCGGGAGGAATGGCCATGCTGCAACCCCTTCTCTATTATCCTCTCCAAATTTGGGGCACACATGTACCTGATTATCAAGCCGTAGTCAGCCACGTGAGGGTCCATCTTCCCAGGTGGGCCTCTGTCCAGATGCCCAGACAAATGTAGCCTCCTGAAAAATCAGCTATTCATATGCTTATTTGATTGAAATATGAACTCCACTGCCATTCAATACCCCCATATCTGATTTTCCATCTGGCTATTTTTTGCTACTATATATAACAACCACTTTTTTTTTTCTAAGAGGTTTTTGCTGGAGGGTACAAGTGCTCACCAGAGGTGGGGGAGGGGCATGGGGGTGAAAAATCACTCCCCAGGGGGATGGCCACTCTGCAATCCCTTCTCCATTCTCCTCTAAGAATTTTGGGCATGCATGCACACATGCCTGGTTTGATTTTCAAGCTACTGGGTCCAGGATTCAAACCATGATTGGCCATGTGGAAGTCCAGTGTTTTAACCACTATGCCACCTGCTGGCGCCACAACAGCCACTCTTATAACTGAGCCCCTTTTCCAATGTTGATACCCAAGTCTAGAACATACTCCTGCTCTTAGACTGCTTCTCCAGAGTCTATAAACTTCCTTAGCACTCGTCTTCAAAGTACCTACGTCACTGGACTGCCATGTAATCAACTGCGGTCTGAGTCCCAGAGCCCGTGGCTTAAAACTCAGGCCAGGCGCATGTGCGTGTGTTCCCAAAATCCAGAGAGGAGACTGGAGGAGAAGGGATTGAGGCGCGGCTATCCCCCATGGGGGATAATTTCTTACTTTCTGTCTCTCTGGCAAGTGCACACACCCAATAGCAAAAACATCTCTGGAAAAAAAGAGGAAAGAAAGTACCTAAAATATATATTTTCTTTATCACTTTGCTTTTTTTAAGAGAGAGAATTTTGTTACACGATGTGTGCACTCACTGGAGACAGAGACAAAAAGTGAGAAGTCACCTCTCCACCCCAAGTAGGGTGGTCATGCTGCCATCCCTTTTCCATTCTCTCCTTGGGATTTTTGGTTATGCACACACATGCACCTGGTGTGGGTTTCAAGCCACTGGATCTGGGCCTTAAACAATGGGCAGCCATATGGGAGTCCAGGGCCTCAACCACTACATCACCTGCTGGCCCCTCTACCACACTTTTTTTTTTTTTTTAATTTTTAATTTTTTTTTAATATTACAGTTAATCACATATATATTTAAAGTGTATAGCATTTCTTTTGCCAGCATGATTACCATGCATGTCAGTCAAAACAAAAACATTACTATCCACATCATCAAATAGCTTTTCTTTTTTCCAGATTATTATTATTATTATTTATTCTCTTTTTTAAAAAAACATTCAGTCACCATACATTATTTGGCTCGTAAAGAAAATTTACCTAACATGAAAGTACTCCTCAGACCAGAGAATACTATCCATGTTGCCATCAGCAGGTAATGAACCCTTTCTCTGTCCCAGTAATGTCATGCCTCTCTGTTTGTTCTCCTGCTATCCTTCTCTATACTCTTCCCTTCTCCCTAGCACACAGTATGAAGTGTTATCAAGTCCTCCCATATGTGTAAAACTGCAAATGTCGTCTAGATCCAGATTACCTGTCTTACGCAAGTTACTTTCCTGTGCTTCTGCATTCCCATCTAAAACTGGATATAATAAAGATAATACCTGCTTGCTGGGGCAGTGAGAGGGTCACCCAGTTAACTCGTGGCTAGTGTTGAGAGCAGTTCCTGCTGCGTAGCTGAGTGTGGTGTGTTAAAGTCACTTGTTCACGCTGCTTTCTCAGTGTTTCATGTGCGCATTTGTACACAAGTGTAAGCCCCTGGAGACAAGAAGAGAGCATGTGCCTCCTGCGTCTGCTGTCAGGCCTGGACCACCGGCGGTTAAAGTTGAGTTACTGACTGATCTCCCTCATGCCGTGCTTGGCCATCTGCTCTCCTGCTAGGTCCAGGAGTGCCGCAGGATGGATCCGATGATGAGGACGAGGAGTGGCCCACCCTGGAGAAGGCTGCCACGATGACAGGGGTGGGCCACCACGCAGAGGTGGTCGTGGACCCCGAGGATGAGCGTGCCATTGAGATGTTCATGAACAAGAACCCTCCTGCCAGGTAGGACTGGGAGTCGGGGATCTCAGGTCTAGTAGAACGTTCCTGCAGGGAAGCAAGTGCCCTGCCCAGCCGACTTTCCATTCCCCACCTTTGGAAAGGGCCCAAGCATTGCCACCTGCGGTGCACCCCCTTGACAAACTGGACCATCCTCCCAGGGTCGTTCTGACTGGGGATGACCCATATGCAGGGCACCTCCTGCTTCTGTTCACCAATTCTAGAACTTCCTGGATCACCCAAGGACACAGCTACAGGTCCTTTCCGTGTGTTTTTAATGAGAGAAATGTGGATGCTTTGGACAGGGCTTTGCAGTTGCGACCATCCATGCCAACCTCCCAGTTGGCCAGCTCTACAGGTGTGTGCCATCACGCCGAGCCTGTGCAGGTTGGCCCAGGATCCCAGCTCGGGCCTCCCACATGGTCCCAGCCCGTGCAGAGGTAGCCTCCCTCCCCTGACCCTGTTGCTGCTTTTTTTTTTTTTGGTATGAAGCTCTGTGTTTTTTTTTGTTTTGTTTTTTTGGGGTTTTTTTTTTTTTTTTTGGAGGTTTTTGTTTTTTTTTTTTTCCCCCACAAGTCTCTTGAATACCCCAAACTTCATTTAATCCAGGGTTTTTCAGTTTGGGCATTACTGGCATTCGTGTGTGTGTGTGTGTGTGTGTGTGTGTGTGACACTTGTCCGTGTGATGTAGGGTATTAGCAGATCTCTCTGATCTCTGCCCTCTGGGGGATACCACTAGTGACCTACCTTCTAGTTAATGACTAAGTGACTCCCAGCATCACCAGATACCCCTGGGGGGGCAACATCACCTTCAGTTAGAACCACGAATATGTCCCCGTCTCTATTAAATGTTAGTTCCAAATCATGTAGGCATTCAGGCTGCCTGTGGTCGCATTCCTGAGCCCATGGAATTTGGCCCGAGGGAGGGGAATCTAGGGTACGGGCCCTCCGGTTCATTCTGATCCTGTGATATTACGTGGTGTCATCCTTGGTCCTTCAGACTGTTGTGGGTTAATGCATCTCATTGCTAATTATACTAGAGAAAAAAAAAAAAAAAAACAGTGAGCCTGAATGCCCGGCTCTGCAGCAAGATACGTGTGTGTGCAGAATGAAGAAATGAGCCCGTCTCCCTGTTCGATACTTAACAGCTGGGAGAGGGGTCACAAAGGGCGTGCTTTTGTGCTCGCCCCTGCACAGAGCCTCTCAGGTTCCCACCCAGTGCCCAGATCCCCTCTGCAGATAACCCGACAAACTCAGGAAGGTTTTCCTGCTTGCAGTGAACGGAAGCTCTGTGCCACTAGAAGTAGGGTCTCCTGGCAGTCTCAAGGAACGAGAGCCAGCGTCTCCAGGAAACAGGCTCCGATCCACATGAACGTGGCAGTCGTGGGGCAGTTAGTTAGGAGCACATTCAAGTACATCATGTAGTGACGGAACTTCGGGACCTGAAAGGGCTGAGTCTCACCCCTTCCCCACTCAGCAGCCGCGAGACCATGAGTGTGTTTTTGACCTGAGTCTCAGCCCCCTGTCAGCATAAGGGGAATGAAAGCGCCGGCCGTAAGTGCACAGATGACTCCCAAGCTGGGTGCCTGGCCTAGAACAGGCCACCGGAAGACAGGAGCAGTTTTGAGTCCACTCCAGCAGCCTCTGGAGACACCGTTGTTATGCCATACTCCAAGGCGATGACAGCTCTCAGGATAGAGGTTCTTAGTGAGGCCCGCGCAGGCCCCAACCTGTCTGTGGTTTCGGGCTGCTATCTGCCTCACAGAGCAAAGGTGGGGGATTTTTCTTCTGGAAAGACACAGTCGTCTTCTCCTCTGAAAAAGCCTCCTGCACAGTTGACTTTGATGTTTGCCGGGAGTAGGAGGGCAGGCACTGAGGCCTTCAGAGTCTGGGTTTTCAATTGCACTTGAGAGAGAAGGAAGTTGGGCCCGAACACATCACTGTCGGTTCAACCTGGGCTTCCTGACAAGTCACAGAAGTGGCCTAGTCAGTAAGTGGCCAGATCCCACACGGCCAACTGCACAGTTTGAGTCCTGGACCCAGCAGCTTAAGAAGTAAGCCAGGGGCCTGTGCATGTCTGAAATCCCAGAAGGAGCTAGAGACAGAGGGAAAGGGATTATGGCACAACCAGGCCCCACCGGGAGGTGCTTCCTTTCTGTTCCTTTCCCTCTCCCCTCTGGTGAGCTCATGTGCCATCTGGCAAATTAAAAAGAGAGAGAGAGAGAGAGAGAGAGAGAGAGAGAGAGAGAGAAAGGAGACTGATTAGATTATAGAGTACAGTGCTTGGGGGGGTGAG